GCAGAATATAAGATCAATATAAAAAAAAATTAGTGGGATTCCGCTACAGTAACAAAGAGAACTCAGAGAAAGCTACCAAGAAGCCAATACCATTTACAATAGCAAGTCACAAACTGAAGTACTTGGGAGTGAATCTAACTAGAGACACAAAAGTCTGTACAAAGAAAACTACAGAACATTTCTGTGAGACACCATAAAAGACCTAAATAAATGGGAAAGTGTGCCCTGCCCTGTTCATTGATAGGAAGACCCAATATTTCGAAAATTACCATCCTAGAAAAAGCAATCTACTTATTCAACACAATCCCAATACAAATACCAAATGCATTTTTCAAAAACAAAAGGAAAATTGTCAAGTTTATTTGGAGGAGAAAGAGACCCTAAATAAGCAAAGCACTTCTGGAAAACAAAAATGAGGTTGGAGGCCTAGAACTTCCTGACCTCAAAACCTATTACACAGCATTAGTAACCATAGCAGCATGGTACTGGTATAACAACAGGCACACAGAACAATGAAACAGTACTGAGAACCCAGAAATGGACCTGAAACAGAATTGAGAATCCAGAAATGGACCTAGTTATCTATGGTCATCTTGACGAGGATATAAAATCTATCAAATGGGGAAATGATAATCTCTACAAATAGTGTTGGCAAAACTGGACTGCTACCTACAGAAAGCGGAAACACTATCCACATTTCACCCCTTACACAAAAATCAACTCAAGGTGGGTCAGAGACCTAGGAGTAAAGCCCCAAACCATAAAGGTCATCAGAGACAAACTGGGATCAAGCTTAGATTGCCTAGTTTACATAGTATGTGCAGGGGGAGGAAAGAAGGGGGGATTAGTCATGGGGTTGTAAAATTTGATGGGGGATTGAGGAAAATTCAAAGAATCTGGTCTGAAAAACAATATATTCAAATTTTGTAAATAAACTAGCATAATAATAATAACAACAACAACAACAATAACCACCACAACAAATCAAGATGGACTGATGCAGGCGCTGCAACAATGAGCCTAAGTACAGCAAGATTATGAGGATGGGGCAAGAATAGCCTGGCTTTCACTCTGTTGCACATAGGCTCTCAATGAATGGGTGAATGAAAGCCGATTGGTTTGGTTGTGTTTTTTTTTTTTTAATAATTATTTTTTTAAAAAAGAGTGTCAAATACAGTCAGAAATACACATTCTGGAGAGGATAAAATTGATCAACGAGACCTTCTAAGATTAAATCCCTGTACACATCAAAATTGTTTTCCAATAGAGTGAAAAGAAAACCTATCAATTGGAAAAAGAACACTTGGCAATCAATACCATTTCAGACAAGGGTCTCATATCAAAAGTTTACAGAATCCTATAGGGCCTCCACAAGAAAAAGATTGATAACACAATTACGAAATTACCAAAAACATGGAAAGAATTTTCACAGTGGAAAACTTCCAGATGGCCAGGAGACACATTGAATAAATCAAAATCACTGGCAATAAGAGAACTACAAATCAAAACCACAATGAGATACCATCTCACTCCAGTAGCAGTGACAAAGTTTAACAGGATAGCCTGTAATAAAAGTTGGAGCGGATGTGGTGAGATAACTCTTACACAGTTAGTGGGATTGTAAAATGGTACAACCACTCTTAAAGGCAGTTTGGTGCTTCCTCAAAGAGCTGAACATAGACATTCCATATGACCAAGCTTGGAATATACCCCAAGAAAACTAGAACTGAGGCACAAATGGAGACTTGTACACTAATGTTCATAGCGCCATTATTCACCAACACAAGAACATGATAACAGTCCAGGTGTCCAACCACAATCAAATAGATTGAGAAATTAGGGTGTATTCACACAATGGAATACTATGTAGCACATAGGAGCAATGACTTTGTAAATCACTGCTTAACTTGGGAGGGACTGGAGAGCATTATACTAAGTGAATTAACTCAGTCCCATAAAGACACATATGGTATAAGACCATTACTGTAGAACGTGTATGAGGATCCAAGACCAGAAGGGTGGGAGCAGAAGGGTGAGGATGTGGGAGTTATGGGTTAGGGTGGTGGTAGTGGTTAATCATTGTGTCATGCAATTTGATGGGTGGAGGGAAGAGTTGGTTAAGGAAATGGGAAAGATCTTGTATAAAAAACAATGTATACAAACTTTGTAAGTAAACCAGTATAAAATAATAATTTTATATTAAAA